AGCCCAAAAAAGGAAAAAATTAAGAAAAAGATGTCAAAGTCACTCTCTCAGCACCTTAACTACTTTTCTGTAATGTAATTCCAGTGCAGTATAACAAAAGTATAGTGATTTAAATGTACTTACAGTGGGGAAAATATTTATTTGATCCCCTGCTGATTTTGTAAAAATATGCTTATAGTTAACTAAACCAACATTTTTGTTACTTGAAATAAATATAAACTGAAATAAAATATAATATTAAAAACTCATCAGTCGATCACCTGCAGAACTTTCCACTTTCATTTTTTATGATTGGCTCTCCCACTAATTTACCGTTTAGTAAATTGGGCCCATAGTATCTCAGTAATACTAAAATAACACTACTAAACACTAAAACTTTGAAGTCACATAAGATATAATACTGTAGTATTTTATTAATGTTAAACACAAAATGGTAAAAAAAAAAACATAAAAAAACCATTAAATGATTCAGTACAAACAATGACAAGACTGATATCAAGCATTACCAGTATGTTAAATAAAAACTGAAAATTCAGTGTGAGGTATGTGTCTCTGTATTGATGCAAGTCCATCAAATGCTTCATAACACTAATAATAATTCATACATTACATACTGTACAGTCAATTAAAAACACAGAAATGTTCAGTGTAATCATGTTAGTGTAGTTCCATTTCTAGAAGAATTCATTTTTGGTCCGAGGCTAAAGAATTGACTCATCTCCTCATTAGCACCATTGATCAGTATATATAGTTTCACTGGCCCAGGATCAGTGCATTAAGGCAGTCAAAGACACAAGTTAATATTCAAAATCAGAGCCTGATTATGTCTCTGTGGTAATAAGTGCTTTAAAGAATAGAGGCTAATGTTTAAACCACAATTATATGACAAACTATACTTGTAATTAAGAGCTAGTAACAAGAGCAGGGATGTGAACTGTGTTGGGCTGGTTGGTCTTTGGATCCTCGTCTTCATCATTTTGCTGCTCTTCAAACAGGTGCTCTGCCTCTTCAGTGAGCCGTGTATCTTCACCTCTCTTCCTTCTGTGAAAAAACAAACAACAAAAACATTATAATATGGCAATTCTGATTCTTAGATATTCTGATTATACTGATATAAAGGACTGCCGTACCTCCCTCTTTGACCGGCTGTATTCATCTATGGCATACTGGTATTTAGCTGAGGTGATGCCAAAAAGCGATGCCATTCGCTCACCGAGGTAGTCACAAGCTGAAAGATGGGACAGGCAGAATTTGACATAGTTATGAGATTTTGAATGTGAATATTTATATGTTGCATAATAAGCACTTATACATTTTTGCTTTAATTCTTGATGGATGTTTGTGTATGTATTCATCCATACAGTATTTTTTTTTTTTATCTGGCTTTTTAAGGTGCTTAGTGAATCTCTGTGGAGTCACAGGATTTCAAATGATTAAAGAAAATATCATGATGTGGTGCTTGAACTAGATAGAACAGAAAAATAATCATATATTTAAAATGAAAATGCTGTTTTGCATATTTGAATAAAACATCAAAACCGACATGTCATAATCGTTTAACATCATCCACAATGGCCTGAGGAGGATTTTACAGCTAATTGCACAGACACAAACATAAATATGAAAAAAAAAATATATAATAATCCCAAGGCATGATTATGCACATTTCTGTCACTATACCTGTGCACAGAATATGAATTTTAACAGTTTTCTCCAAAAAGAAAAGCTAAGATGCTGGAGTGATGTTAAGGTGGGGATAAAATATTGTGGATAGGTGATTAAAAATAAAATCTAATTATTTTTGTATAGTATAATGTATTTGTATAGTGATATAAATTTACTAAATGTAAAAAAAGAAAGAATACACACACACACACACATACACACACGTGACAATGCCTCTGTGTATAAGGCAGGGTTCAAAAATAAATGATTTGATTCAGTCAGTGTGCAAGGTTTAAAAAAAATGCGAATGTTTGCACAATTTAAAACTGACACTCAAATGTATTTGGAAACAAAATCTAAGTTTTTTTTTTTTTACCCTGATATGGTTGGTTATGCACTTTTTTTATACAGTATGCTTGCTCAGAAATAAGGATTTGTAACATATTGTAGTTATGTACATGTATTTGTTTAATTTACAACTTTTTGTGCAACAAATCTGTAACAAGATATATCAGCAAAGAAGGCAAACGTGATAGATATTGGCTTTAACGTGCAAACAAAATACTTCAGCATATACCTTTTTAATCTGGAACACTTTACAAAATGACTCAAATGCCATAGGTCAGTTTGTCATATTAGTTTAAAGATCCAGTTTTCGGTTTTGAATCAGACTTACCAGATATAGTGGATGTAGCTGCTCTCCACATCTGAAACCAGACATATGGGCCCCAAGCCAGCTTGGACTTTTAAAAAAAAAGAGAAAAAAATTAAAGTTATATTAAACTCTTATTCTGATTTTTTTTCATTGGATGTCAGAATGGGTGAACTGAAGGATCCTTCAGGGCATTTGTTCAAACACACATACTGTGTCTATGGAGGACAGAAGGTCTTTCTTTGCGTTCTGTGTTTTGTCTTCCTCCTCCTCATCTGTGCTGTATTCTTCCATGGTCTCCCCGCTGGAGAAATGAATAATGCGGCGTGGGGTCTTCTCTTTTCTGTCCAGATCACCAAGCTCCACACACTCATATTCCTTCTCTTTTCCAGAGAGCTGTCCACAGGCACACAGCAGATATATTACAAATAAGTTATGCACAATATGATTGTCTTTTAAACTGGAATGAGGGAAGAAAACTGGCCTAGTGCCCTTAAAAAAACAAAAACAAATGAACAATAGTTGTTTTCCACGATACCACAGTAAGTATTACGTCTAAAATCAAAATAAATGTATAAGCATCTGCTTTAAAAAATCAGTATTGCTTTTAAATTGGTTTCACACTTTTTTCACAAGTAAGGTGTACAATTTCAAAACTCTTAGTACAAAACTTTAAACTGATCACACTTTTAACACGACTAGTCATTCTTTCAAAACCTGATCTCATGATTTCATTGTAGTTGCGCATATTTTCATTCCACATAATCATTGTTTCAAAACAAGATCATTGTGATATGTGTTGAGAACATTTGAATTCATCACCAAAACACAACAGTATGATCTTTCAATTCAGTACTTTTAACAATCAGTTCATTCAAGAGCAAACAATGCCAGATTCATTTTTCAAATCACCTTTGTTGCTGAAATAATTACAGTAACACAGGCAATAACTGTGATGAATGTTATATTATAAATGTTAGAAAATACACTTACATTACCTAACTTGCATATCTCACATAAAATCAATAATGTTTGTAAAAGTATTTATCCAGTGTGTTATCAAAAGGTGTGATGAAGGTATTGTGCTAGAACAGAGTTTACTGTCAATGTAGTAAATGTCCTCACTGTGCCATATGACTGAATCTATACTCTAGCTGAACTTTTCAGATAAAGGGCGAGTTATAGTAATGTGCAGTCTTTACCATGGTAATGCTTCTACATACAGTATCACATGGCATAATGTAATGTAAAATGCTGTATTTGATGCCATCTGTCTCCCTTCTTCTGATACATCTCTGATCAGTTCCTCTCCCTTGTATCCTGCTGTACACTGTAAAAAATAACTATAATTTTAACTGTAACATTTTGTAAAAATGCTACGGAAAAAAACTGTTAATAGGAGTAGTAGTATCCTACACTATGTGTCAGATTGGTGATTTATGACCTGATTTATGACCCCCTGTCAGCGTTGATTGACAGGTTGTCATATGTCAAATGTGTACATGGTCAGATTTATGACCTGATTTATGGCTATATGACCCCTCTGTCACCCTGACTGCCATGTCACCAGAGTCTTATCACCCCTGACTGACATGACAGTGGGGTGTGTAAATCAAAAGATCAAACAGATGTTAGATCTGACTTTTGATGTATTTATGACTGGATTTATGATGTTTTTATCT